GACAAGGTTTTGGTAAATTTCCCAGAGTGGCCTCGGCTCTAGAGTAGCGGGTATTATAGGTATGTGCTACCATGCCCAGTGACAAGATTGACCAACCAATCTCTGCCCATCCGTCCCTTCCTCCTTTCTAATTCCTTCTTTCCTGGGGATTGAACCCGAGGCCTTTGCACTGAGCTATATCTCTAGCCTTTAAAATTATTTTTTTCTTTTAAATTTTGAGGCAGGGTCTCACTAAGTTGCTAAATTGCACGGGTTGGGCTTGAACTTGGAATCCTCTTCCCATAGTGCTGGGTTTAGAGGCATGTGCCACTATGCCCAGGAAAGTTTTTTTTCTTTTTTCTTTTTTTTTTGACACAAAGTCTCACTTTATAGTTCAGGCTGGCCTTGAACTTACTATATAGTCTAGGCTGGCTGGAACTCATGGCGATCCTCTTGCCTCAGCTTTCCAAGTGTGCCCCAATGCCTGGTTCTCAGAGAGATATTTATATGATCCCTTAGACATACATTTTCACTGTCTTTATCCGAGGTTCCTCTCTCCCTGCTTTACCCAAATGATGTCATTCTGTTAATTGTTTTGTACCTGGCCATTTCCTCCACTTAATAGTGTCCCTTAAAGTTTGTTTCATGGTAGAGCATTTGCATGGCTGGAGGCCTTGGGTATACTCAGCATTACCAGAAAAGGGAAAAAATATACACACATATATATGGTTTTTTTTTGTTTGTTTGGTACCAGGAATCAAACTCAGGACCTTGTGTTTGCCAGGCAGGCACTGTGCTGCTGAGCTATATCCCCGGCCCCGTATGTATTCTTCAGCATACTTTTATCCCCTCTGGTTGCAGGTACCACTTCAGCACTTTATTTTTTATTTTTATTTTTTTTGGTTTTTCTCTGGTACCGGGAACCGAACTCATGACCTTGCGCTTGCGAGGCAGGTGCTTTGCCGCTGAGCTAAATCCCCAGCCCACTTCAGCACTTTAGTTTGCAGATAATGAGAGAAAGCTAGAGGTGGAGAGGATATAGAGGAGCAATTAAGAGGGGACCAGCAATCTAAACCCACAGTTAATAAAACTCAACTGAATAAAAATGAATTTCATGTTGATACCATTAAAATTAGTTCTGAAAATTAGAAATACATTTACTATTCTGCATATACCACTGGACAGTGTGGTTATAGCAATACAGGCAATTTAGGAGTAACTTACCTTGTTTGTTATCACTTCTCAGCCTTTTGGCTAAGATCAAATGAAGTTTTCTTATTTATAAAGCAGGACTGATTATAATACCTCACATAGACTTACGTAGAAGATTAAATAAGATATGTATAAATGTTATAAGTTAAACTCTTACCTTTTTTTTTTGGTACCGGGAATCAAACTCAGGACTTTGTGCTTGCCAAGTAGGCGCTGTGCCGCTGAGCTAGATCCCCAGCCCTCAAATGTTTTATGTATTCACATATGTAGACATGCACGTGCACATGCTCTTAGGCATCATGTCTTACAGACTGGAGACATCTTTCTAACTGTCACCTACATAAGACAGTTTTGGTTTTTTTTTTTGAGACAGGGTCTCACTATGCAGTTCAGGGTGGCCTTGAGCTCACTTTGTAGCCCAGGCTGGTCTTGAACTCACGGTGATCTTCCTGCCTCAGCCTCAGCCTCTTGAGGGCTGGGATTACAGATGTGTGCCGGCCACGCCCAGCTCCTTCTTCCTTTTTGTTTTGCTTCATCCTCTCCCAAGGTTGGGCCTCACTGTGGCAGTGCTGAGGAAGTGAAGGGGCCTGCGCTGCCCGCGTCCTGTCAGGGTGGTGGGCGTGTCTTACCACGGATGCCGTGTGACGTCTTTTGTCCCTGTGCTGGTCATCTTATGTGTAGATTTTTTTCTCATATATACTTGTCAGATCTTTCACAAGTACCCTGGTTTGGTGTTTCTGAATATATTACTATTATTTTTTTTGTAGTAGCAGGGCCTTGCACATACTAAGAAGCATTTTACCGCCAAGCAACACTCCCATCCCATATTCTTGGTATTATTTTAACTTGAAAATTATTAGAGGAATAAAAGTGTGCTTATCAATTTTGCGAGAGCAAAAACCATGGAAGCGTAAGTTTGTGGAAGCGATGCAGTGTACTGATTTGTAATGCTGTCATTTCTTTATTTACAGGTAGGCGAAAACCCAGAGTACATCGGCCTCGTTCTCCGATATTAGAAGAGAAAGACATCCCACCCCTTGAATTTCCCAAGTCCTCCGAGGATTTAATGGTGCCTAACGAGCATATAATGAATGTTATTGCCATTTACGAGGTACTGCGGAACTTTGGCACTGTTTTAAGATTGTCCCCGTTCCGCTTTGAGGACTTCTGTGCAGCTCTGGTGAGCCAGGAGCAGTGCACACTCATGGCGGAGATGCACGTCGTGCTTTTGAAAGCAGTCCTGCGTGAAGAAGACACCTCCAATACTACCTTTGGGCCTGCTGACCTCAAAGACAGCGTCAACTCCACACTGTACTTCATAGACGGGATGACGTGGCCGGAGGTGCTGCGCGTGTACTGTGAGAGCGACAGGGAGTACCACCACGTCCTCCCCTACCAGGAAGCCGAGGACTACCCTTACGGGCCAGTGGAGAACAAAATCAAAGTTCTGCAGTTCCTGGTGGATCAGTTTCTTACGACAAACATTGCTCGGGAGGAGCTGATGTCGGAAGGGGTGATCCAGTACGATGACCATTGCAGGGTGTGTCACAAACTTGGGGATTTGCTTTGCTGTGAGACGTGCTCGGCAGTGTACCACTTGGAATGTGTGAAGCCGCCTCTTGAGGAGGTGCCCGAGGACGAGTGGCAGTGTGAAGTCTGCGTAGCACACAAGGTGCCTGGTGTGACTGACTGTGTTGCTGAGATCCAAAAAAATAAACCGTACATTCGACACGAGCCCATTGGATACGATAGGAGTCGGAGGAAATACTGGTTCCTGAACCGAAGACTCATAATGTAAGTAAATCTGGCTTTAATTTTTGTATGTGCTTGAAATTAAACGGTCTCTCTTCCTTATTGATCCAGCAAAGCTGTAGTGCTGGTGCAGCGTAATGTTTGTAATTAAATAACGAGTTGTAGTCAGATGAGCTCAAACGGGAAGGACAGGCTCCCACTGTTCTCAGTGCCTGGGATGAGGGAGAGTGTCCCTGGGGCTGTGGCCGCGTTCTTGGTTCTGCTCCTCTGCAGCCGGCAGGATGATCGGTGCTCTGGCCTTGGCGATGGATTTGTTTGCATCTCCATCTTTCTTTTATCATACCTGAGTGAGAAACGAGGCAGCGAGCGCGAAGCTCACCGGAAGGAAAGGCCGCTGGTGCCGTCGTTCGCTGCAGGGTCCTTATAGGAGGAGATGATCTCAGCAGATTCAGGGTCATAGTCTGGCCGGAGGGTCCCCAAAACCTTCTTTAGGCATCAGTAGACAAAGCCAGGAAGACATTAGACTTTCCTCGGTCAGGGTGTCGGGCAGGGTTAAAGTATGTTCTGAGGACGCGCGTCACATGCAAACCTGGCAGGAGTGGGCTACTTCGTATTTTCTAAAATCTTCCCAGCTTCTTGCAGTTCTTAGAATTAGGTGCAGTCGGAAAGTCTGGTGCGGTGAAACGGGTGTTGCAGCAGGGCGGAGAGAGGAGAGCAGGGGCTTAGTCAGTGGCTGTGGAGCAGTGGGAGCTCGGGCCGGCTCCTGCTGCTGCGTGTGTGAGTGCTGTGTGCTCAGGTGGAAGCCGCGGACCGTCTGCACGGCTGTGCGGCTGCGCAGTGCCAGCCGCGTGCGGCCCGCTTTCATTGCGGCCCGCTTTCATTGCGGCCCGCGGCAGGCGTGCCCCACCTGCAGTTCGCACGTGTGACCGTGAGAACGCTCCCTAGGCCTCGCGCCTCCCTCTTCCGTTGTGCGTCCAGCTGGAGTGTTGCTGTGTGGACTTCCTGTTTTGGTCTTCTCATCTTCTTATCTTTTCTCTCCAGTTCTCCGCTTTGTTTTTTTTCCTGCTTGGGCTGTGTATTGCTTAATTTTTCTAGATTTCCTTATCTTGGCCTCCTAACCCTTGTACAGTATTTAGTTTTTGCGTTTTTGCTACTCGACTTTTTTATATTTTTATTTTCTAAGAGCTCTTTTGTTCTTAGAATCCTCTTTTTAAAGAAGAAGCTTTGAAATCCTATTTTGCTTCATGGCTGTCGTATTGTATCTGTGAGGCTCTTACCCCGCCCCTTGTAGAGTCTCTCTCTTCTAAATTGCTCCTTGCTGTTCTTTGTTGCGGTCCCTCTCTGCCGTCCTCAGGTGGCTACTCATTATTAATTTTTCCTGATCAACCTTGTGGAACTGCGTAGCTACTGGAAGCTCAGCAAGTGGGTGGGCCTTGGCGGTTTCCAGCGCCCCGCAGAGTGACTCTCCTTGTCTTTTATTGCGACTCCTCATTGTCTGTGTCTGTCGCTGTTTGCCTGAGAGCTGGCTAGCGGGCGGAGAGCAGCCTTCCACAGCAGCTCTGTCCTAGCGGGCAAGTGCTGGCACCAGGCTGCCTTTCTCGTGCTGCGGCATTTCCTGTGTCGTTTAAAGCCTCGGTTTCTGAGTGATACCTTTGCTCACGCCTGAGCCTGGCCTCAGTCTGGAGAACCTCAGGACCTGCCCTGGAACAGCTCACGGCGCTGTTGTGTCTCAGCTCAGCCCCTCGTTTGCAGGGTCTTTGAGGAATTGGGGTGTAAGTTGGATTGGTCCTCAGCTTTACATTGGGGCCTGGGGTCCCTTGGCTCTTTGCTTTGGCAATAATCACTTGCCGTTGCCTTGCCAACTTCCAGAGTTTTTTTGTTGTCTGCCCTCTTTTTCCTGTCCATAGAGTTTATCTCTTTAAAAATATTTCTTTAGGGCTGGGATGTAGCTAAGTGGTAGAGCACTTGCTTAGCACGCACTAGGCCCTAGGTTCAGTCCCTAGCACTGTCAAAAAATAAAGATAAATAAAAACCAAAACAGAAAACTATTTCCTTACCATAGTTTCAAGAGGGTATCAGGAGGGAGCAGAATTAAAGTTGTGATATTAATCCAGAAACTAGTATAACAATATAATGTTTTAAAATGAATATTTTGTCTTTTTGATGGGATCAAATATTTTTAAAAATCTGTAGTATTTTTCATGCCCACGTGTCTGATCACGTGTCCATTGTGATGTGTGTGTGTGCGCGCATGTGTGCATCTTGCTGTGGAGGTAGTAACATGGAAGCCTTTGTCATAAGGTCATTACCAGTGGCCGGCAACCACCTTGGCTTGAAAGTTCAGTGCTGTGTTGTCGTCGTAAGTGAGCACTCCGTCACAGTGGGTGTCGGTGAGCCTGGTGCCTTTCCCCTCTGGAGACCTTTCATAGTTTACAGCCTGTTCATTCTTTCTCCTTCCGCAGTAAAAAGAAATCATTGGTACGTGTTAGATACACATAGTGGTCACATTCATCACAGGGAATCTGTATCTGTACGTGATACATCGTTTCCCCATCCCGCCCCTTCCTTCAACCCCTCTTCCCCTCATTTACCAAAGCTTTGTTTCCATTTTTCCTTCTGTTCTCTTTTTTTCCTTTTCCCTTTTTTCTTTTTCCCTCCCCCTTCCCTAGTTCCTCTTCCCATCTGAACGTTTTCTTCCCACTTCACAATATCTGTTATACATTTTGGTCCTTATTTACACTTTTGGTTTCTTACACCAGAGAAACAGTGCAGTATTTAAACGTGTGTCTGATTTATTTCACTTTAGGGTGTGGTCTCGAGGTGCATCCATTTGATGAGAAATGTGTCAAGTTTATCCTTTTTAATACTCCTTTGTATAAAAAACCTCACATCTCCTTATCCATTCATTGATCGATGGCCATTTGGTCTATTTCCAAGATTCAGCTATTGCAAACTGTGCCGCTGGAGACATGGGTGTGCATATATCGCTGTGCTTTTCATTGTTTCGGGAAGATAACAGGAAGGGGAGTAGCTGGGTTCAGTGGGACCTCTAATTTTAGTTTTGTGAGGAATCTCCACACTGATCGCCACAGTGGCTGCACCAGTCCACACTCCCACCGGCAGTGGAGAAGGGCTCCTTTTTCCCCACAGCCCCGCCAGCATTTGTTATTGGTTGATTTTTGATAATAGCCATCCTTTCCAGGGTGAGATGGAATCTCAGTGTTGTTTTAATTTGCATCTCTTGAATGACTAGTGATGTTGAACATTTTTTCATGTATTATTTGCTGTTTCTACTACTTCATCTGAGAGGTGTGTGTTCATTGCGGATGCCCATTTTGGCACTGGGTCTTTAAATTGGAGGGGGTCTGATTTTCTTTGAGTTCTTCATATGTTCTAGATATTAGTACTTTGAGGGACACGAGGCAAATTTTTTCCCACACAGTGGGTTGCCTCTGCACTCTGTTGGTGGTTTCCTTTGCTGGGCACCTTTTTAATGAGATGAGACCCTTTGTGATATGAGTTGGTGACTTTTTGTGATGTTTCCTCTGCTGTTGGGGTTTTGTTCATAAAGTCTTTGCCTACACCAGTGTCTTTAAGAGTTCTACCTGTTCTATCTTCTACCAGATTTAGTGTTTCCATTTTAACATTTCGGTCTTCTGATTTTAGTTTAGTGCGTGGTGGAAGATAGGGTCTGGTTTTACCTATTGGCACGTGGAAAGGCAGTTTTCCCAGCACTGTTAATTGCAGAGGCTGTCTGCACAGCCGTGTTCAGTGTGTCTCCAGTCTCTTCCTAAAAGGAGCACGCAGTTACCAGATTAGGTAATTAGGAACAGATTAGGAAATCAGTGAGATTAGGCCACTCTCCTCTCCCCAGCCTTTTGGATGATCGTTCTGACTGGCTTTTTCTTTCCTTGAGTACCTTTTTAGGCCACAGAGACCAGCAGTGATTTGTCCACATTCACGTAAGCTGTGTCCTCTCAAGGTATAGGACCTAAAATGTTTTCTAGAATCTGTCTGTAAGAATATTTCCCATACCTATTGATACCTATTGATTGATTGATTGACTGGTGTTTTGAGACAAGGTCTGACCATATAGTTCAGGATGACGGTGAACTCACTGTATATCCTGGACTGGCCTCAAACTTTCAACAGTCCTGCCTCAGCCTCCTGAATGCTGGGATTACAGGCACACACCACCACACCCACCTCAGCACCTTACATTGTAACTCATTTAACCCTAACAGCTGCATTTTGGTGCAACAGCTGTCACTCCATCTTTCAGATGGAGAAAGAGTGGTAGAGGTTAAGCAGCTCATCCAACATCACACAACCCGTAAGTGGCAGAATCAGGATTTGAACCCAGTCTGACTCCAGAATGTGTGCTCCTTACCACTTCCCTGGCTGCTTGACCTAGTGTGTTTTGAATTCCTGAATTGGTAGTTGTATTCGTTCCTTAGGCTGCTATAACAAAGTTCCACAAGTGAGGTGACTTTAAAAAGCAGAGATTTATTGTCTGATAGTTCTGGAGGCTAGCAGTGCAAATTTAAGGTACCAGCAGGGCCACTCTCCCTCTGCAGGCTCTATGAAAGCGTCCTTTTTAACTTTCTGAGTTTCTAGTGCCTCAAATGCTCCTCAAGTTGTTGGCAAAATTCCAGTTTACCTACTTCATCTCATCAAAGCACTGTGGGCTTTTCTCAGTACTTAAAAAGTTTTGCAGTCTCTCCTGATTACTCACTTGTAAAGTCACTTCTGCAGTTCTGGGTATGTGTTCAGCAGTATCCCACTTTCCCATACAGTAAGTCCCTAGCTAGGAACATTTGAATTAGGAACTTTCACAGGTATGAACAGACCTTGGATTTGGGTTTTTCTATGCAAATATTTGTGTCAGAGGTGTGTAAGACTCACTTCATCCAACTTACAAAAAAGTCCAAGTTACGAAGGTTCTCCCAGTGCAGAACTGGTTCTTAAATTGGGAACATAGTGTACCAACATTTGGAAGTTTCTTGGGCTGCTATAACAGAGCACCTGAGTGGTTTAAAAATTAGAGATTTAAACTGGGCATGATGGTACATGCTTGTAATTCCATCACTCTGGAGGCTGAGGCAGGAGAAGTGCTGCAAGTTCGAGGCCAGCCTGGAATACAGAGTGAGTTCAAGGGAAGCCTGAACTACATAGTGAGAACCTGTCTTAAAAAAAAAAGCCAGGCGTGGTGGAGCATGCCTGTAATCCCAGTACTCTGGGAGGCTGAGGCAGGAGGATCATTGTGAGTTTGAGGCCAGCCTGGGCTGCAAAGTGAGCTCAAGGCCAGCTTGAACTGCAGAGCGAGACCCTGTCTCAAAAAAGACAAAAAACAAAAAACAAAACAAAAAAAAGAGCGAGAGAGAGAAAGACCAAATCCAACCAACCAGCCAAACAAACAAAACCCAGAAATTTTTTTGTCACAGTCCTGGAGTTGAGCAGTCTGAAATCCTGTGCCAGGAGAGTTGATTCTTTTTGGAGGCTCACAGAGAGGTTTTGTTCCGTGCCTCTTCCCCAGCTCCTGGCAATCCTTGGCAGTTCTTGGCTTGTACAGCGATGTGTTGTGCCAGTCTCTGTCTGTCTGCATACCATCTTTTCTGTGTGGCACAGTGTGTCCTCTCCTCCTCTAAGGACGCCGGTCTTTGGATTCAGGGAGGGTTTCTCTCCAGTGGCAAGTGATAGCATCTGTGAAGAGCCTGATTCTAAGTGACGTCGCCCTCTCAGTGTTGGTGGGTCTGAACGTTGGGACCCCGTTCAGCTCATTCCAGAGTTGCTTACTCTTTGTTTGTGTGGATTGGTCAGAAATGGAACTTGAGACTTGCTATTAGCCACTGCCTGGCGTGGTTAAGCTTTCTGCCAGTAGGTAAAAGTCAGAAACTTTTTTTTAAGTCAAAAGAAACTTTAAATGTAAGCACAGAGTATGTATGTTTGCCCCAAATTATATTTTTTGCCAACATTTTCTTCCCACCCTGTCCTCCCCCCTGCCGGCCCATGAGCTCCTGGAGAGCGGGGCCTGCCGTGTCTGTCGGGCACTGGGCCAGTTCAGGTGAGCCTCGGGCCTGGCTGGCCCGCAGGAGCAGCTGCTGTGGGCGCCACATTGGAGCTCCTAAACCAGCGCGTGCACAGATCTCTGTGCTTATGCAGAAAAGCTGCTGTCACTTTATCGTTGGGACGGAGAGTTTTGATACGGGCTGTAAGTAAGCCCAGATACAGTACATAAGTACAAACAAATGACAGCTCTTTGAAAACAGCAGCTATTGTTTACTGTTTTTACTTTTATTACTGTACTGAATTTATTCTTCTTCAACCTTACCGAGAAAACATTAAGGAAACATTAATTAATACTGTCTTTGATGAGGTGAGAAGGTGGTTAGTGGCACCACTTTCTCCCCCAGCTGCTGGGGATGGCACCCAGGGCCTTCCCACTGAGCTCTGTCCCCCGGCTTCCGTGTGCCCTCACTTCTTTCTTCTTGGAGACAGGCTCGCTAAGTTGAGACAAGCAGAGCTCAAACTTGTGGTCCTCCTGCCTCAGCCTCCCAGAGTGCTGGGACAACAAGCATGTGCCCCTATGCTCAACTGCTGGCACATTTTTAGAGGACACTGACAGACTGTCCTTTTAGGAGGAAATTACCAGGTAGTGAAGTGTGAAAAACATTCTGTGTGAGGGCTGACTGAAGAGTTTGAGCATGTTTGGCACGAAGAGAAAAGGCAGAGTAAAATTACAGACATGTGAGGGGCTTGTACGACGTATGGAGGCGGTGTTGGGTTTATTCACATGCTGCCGGCGGGCAGAACGGGTAACTGGTGGCAGTGCTGTGGGTTTGCGTCATCTCATTCTCAGAAGAAACTTGCTGGGAGCAGTTCCAGCGTGGTGCGGACTGCTGTGGGCCCCACGCGACAGTCCTGTGTGGATGAGACACTTTGTAGGTGCTGGCGTGGGTGTGACAGACCAGCGGTTAGAGATCCTTTCAGGAGTCTCGAGTTGCTTAAAAAAAAATTGACAGAATGTCCACTTAATTAAATATGTTCCCACAGCATCTCGCTGTCATAATGAAACCTTACACTTATAAATTATATTTTGTGCCAAAACAACAGTTTTAGGTGGGATAGTTTCTTGTTTCACATCACTTAATGATGAGGTGTGTTCTGAGAACTGCACCGTGAGGTAAGCTTGTTGTTGGCGTGAACATCGTGGAATAACCTCGTAAACTCCGGGCTGTGCTGTCACCCAGCAATATGGCACCATGGTCTGTGTTCCACTGTTGACTGAAATGTTGTCATGTGGTGTATGACTGTGTTTCTTCCTTTCCTCTTTCCCCTCCCCGCCCCTTCCCTCCTCTCTTCTTTTATGTTGTGTGTTGTACTGGGGATGGAAGCCATGCTCTGTGCACGCTAGACAACTCTAGCGCTGACCTATACCTCCACGCGTCAATTTATGAAAAAAAAAAAAAATTCAGCAGACATCATGATAACTGGAAATCTTAAGATTGAAATTTTATTTTATTTTATTTTGTTTTTTTTTTTT